ATTATAATCTCTAGAAATAAGTGAACACTCCAGGTCAAAGGAACAGAGTAAGCTGAACATCTCTAAGCATTTTAGGCTGCCTATGGACTTGGAGAAAAAAAAACCCAATTCCCACTTCTCAGTTTTGTTTTTTCCTACACGAAAGACACTTGAGACATGAATATTTTTGCATAATTTCTTATTACGGAYCAGGACTATCCCTATGCTACTCATAGCCACTGCCTTACAATGTGAAAACAGACACTGGAAGACTACTCGGAGATTATGCTAAGAAGCTTCACAGTCATGAAGAGAAGGTCATGTGCAAAAAAAAAATAATTGAAATTAGGATCTTTACTGATCACTAATGAATCTACAGCAGAATTATATTTTTGTTGCCCCTGCCAAATTTCAAACAGGGTAACAGCATCCTCTCTGTACAGATGTGTTATYTGATCTACATATTTTTTTTAAATCCATTAGAAAATACTGTTTTGAATTGAAAAAAAGAGTTGGCATGATACATTGCAAGAAGGGTAAGGCATTTTAAAAGCTGATGAAACAATTTGCATTCACATATTCTGAAATTCCTCCACAGAAAACACACTACTGTATTTGTAAAATAGATAATGAAGACCAGCCCAGCAACTCGTAATTGAGAAAATCTCAAAACTGAAATATCTACCTATCTGCATATACACGTAGCCTTGCCTACAGGTTCTCTTCCCCACACAAAAATAAAATGAGCATGAGAAAGACTTCCTGAAGAGCCTTCAAAAATCTAGGAACAGAAAGCAGCTTATTTCCTTTGCTCCATGAGGCATACATATGTGTGTGTGTGTGTGTGTGTGTGTGTGTGTGTGTGTGTGTGTGTGTGTGTGTATGCATATATATCTACCAAAACCTTTGCAAAGCAACCTATGAACAATTAATTCCACTGTGTGCTAGCCTGAAGAAAACCAATTTCTGTCTCATCAGTTACCACTTTTATGACCAGAAGTGGATTAGCAAACCCTGAGCACACTATGCACACTGTTTTGCAGCCCTCTCCATATTACTCATTAGTCCCATTCTCTTTCATAAAGACTCAACTTTTTTTTTTAGCAACATTTAGATTTCACAGATTCATTTTTTTTTATCAAGCCTTTTGTTTCGATCATTTAACTATTGCAGCAGAGAAGAATCAAACTAGAGAAATGCAAAATCTTCTATCAAGCATCATTAAGAAAAAAATAAAAAAGGAAAATCAAACAGGTTGTGAACAGGACTACAGAGTCACCTCTACTGGTGCAAAGTCATTTGGTAAATTTGGTTTATAGTAGAGGAGATTCRGAGAGGAGGAAAGAGGCTAAAAACCTTGTTTATATGCTCAGTTCAATTCAATATCTGCCATCAAGCAGGGCAGAGACACTTTAACAAACCTGGGCTCAAAGAAATATGATTAAACACAACTCCAGAGGCAACAGACAAGGTGGCAGCAAACACGGTGGGAAGAGCAAACCACACTCGGAAGCCCSTCACTACTGGTCTCAGGAGAGAAACAGAATAAATGTTGCTTTTCTGAAAATACAGGCGTCTTGCACCATTTTGACATTCTCCTTACAGATTCACTGCCACCTAGAACACTCTTCTGCCTTCTCACCTTCAGCTCTGTATTGTTTTTTCCTAAATTTAACCTTCCACGTGCAAAAAAAAAAAAAAAAAAAGAAGATGGCATTAGTTTTTTAAATTCTCATCTTAACAGAGGTAAAACTACAAGATCCTGTGCTGCTGTGTCACTTCTGGAACACCTTGCATTTCTCAGGCAAGGACATGAGAAAGGAAGAAAAGCAACCAAAATGAACTAGACACATGAGCTTATGGTGACTAAGCAGAGCACATACTTTTATTCAGAATTCAAGTAGCCTGATTTCAATTACCTTCAACTTCACTTTGGAAATGAATAAAAAAATTCTCAGCCATCAATCACTGAAACATACTTTTATTCCCTCCATCCTCTATTTTTTCTTCCTATCCAATAAAATGAACAACTGGTACCTTAAACTTTATTTCCCAACATAKGACTCTCACTATAAAAGCAGGAACTGTAACTGGTCTCAAAGGATATGAATTACTGGGAGTTATCATAAATTTTCTTTCTGCTCAAGTTGTGTTTTACATCACCAGTGCCTCATTCAAATATGCTAGAATAATTAAAAAATATCAGTGAGAACATTAAATAACAAGTTAATCTGCACTTTTCCAGAGATTCCTTCTGCATAAACTATCTCCACGAGATCCTCTTCACTGCTCTTAAGAACTGTACTGCTAAAGCTCATTTAATCTCTCCAATCAACTACAGTTTTATGTCAGTACATTTTCCCTTCAATTTTCTTAACTTCATCTGAAATTTGGGAATGGTAAAGGAGAGATAGAATATTTCAAGCTAAGAGTATTCTGATCATACTTAAAACAAATGAAGTTCAAAATCCACTCTTCTCTGTCTTTTTTTTTTTTCTTTAACTCTGTATTTTGTCTACTTGCTGCTGCCAACTCTGAAGTATGGGTCAGCACAGAGTAAGGAATGAGAGCCCTGCCAATGTCAGTCTGTCAGTCATAAATTCACTATTCCTCTCCAACCTCCCCAACAGACAACAACAAACACCCCCTTCTTCTTCCTCCCCTCCTCCCAAACCTCCAACCACTGGTTGCAGGTCACATCAACCTCCTCTTTCAAGACAAGCACCATGACATCACTGCCATCAACAGCACCTATTGAGTTGAAAGTAGAGAACAATCGACTGRAAAAGTCTTCTTTGAGGTGCTGCAATTAATTCTGCTGACTTCATTAAAATGATCCTTGAAAAAAAAAATCTAGTTTTTAGGTTGAGGCAGCTGTGAAGACCCTGACCATCAGACAACTCGCCTTACTCTCCCACTCCRTAACCACTCTTCCCGTGCCAGACCATTAAAGCAGGTAAGGACGGATGCTGGGCTGGCTCCCCAGCCCCAGGGCAGCCCGGCTGCTCCTGCTGGAGCAGGCCCTGGGTGTCTCTGCTACTTGGCCACTGAATGCRGTGCTGGCACGATTGCACCCAACGTGACGACTGGGAAGACGAGCTCTCTGCTCAACTTGGTTACCAAATTTAACAATGCACCAAAGAGTGAACTGGAGGATGAGACCTCCCCTTGGGCAGGGGAGATGCCCATTAAATTCGCAGAACACTCATTATTTCTCTGAAATAGGAGAAAAGGCTAGGCATGTGAAAGATTCAAGTTAAAAACTTTGCTATGCTCAGTGTGATTCAAGAACTTCAGCCTTAGTCCATTCTATCACAAATGGTGGTCATGAGGGGCAAACTATCGTTTGTCCTTGAACTATTTATGCTGCTCTGTATCAATCTCTCTCATCTCTGAACTTYCCCAGGCATCCACAAACCTGCCCATAAAGGCACTTGGGTCCTGCAAACAATTCACTTTAACCTCCTGGTGGTGATCGGGTAGAGCAGAAACATGAGTCACCATCTTTCACAGCCCACRAAAGACTTAGACATAAGAGAAATGACTGAAGAGGAAAGTTTTCCTCTTTTCTCTACAGTTTTATACTTCAAAGTTTCTTTCATTACTGTTGTAGATAGGATAAATTCAATTGCACAGCTGCCTGAATCCCTCCCTGATGGTCCCTGATGGAGGGACCTCCCTGTCCAACTTTCGCTGCCTCCTCTTCCTTGGTGGGTTGCGGGAAAGAGCCTCTTTTCCAGCAGATCTTCTGTAAGGCTCTCTAAGATGTTTTAGCACATGAACAAACCCTTTTACAGGGTTTTTACAGACAACTCGAGTTTATTCATAGTCATTTTTCTTCTTTTGCCAGTTACCTGTCTTGGACAACTCCACACAATAAAACCAATTTCCACACAAAACTGTTAAAACAACTGCCATACTCAAGAACGATGACAACAGGTTTGACTGACACAGATTTGCCACTACTAATGTCACAGCTCTCAAACGCTTGTAAACGGTTCGCAGCACAAAATGTGTCGTGCTCAAATTTATGACAGCACAACATGCAAGARTCCCACAAATTCACTGATACTTCTTTAGAAGGACTTATTTGCAGGACCTCTTTATAGTTACCTACAGTCCTACTGTCATACAGCAGGATGCTACATATAGTCAAACTGGTAACATCTCAGGAGAGATTTTGTTCAGCCTGCACTGCTCTGGGCCTGGTTTACAGTACCCTTACATGCTGATGGCTTATATAAGCTTATAGCTTCATTTACCTCTGGCAAATAGCTCTCTGCCTCTCAGAGAAGCAGTCTTTAACCTCTGCATTTTAGATGCAGTCTTTAACCTTTAAATTTTAGGCAAGCCATATATTAACTGCTTGTGAAATGGAGAAAACTCCATGTGACACTCCTCCCCTCTCAGTAGAATACATCAATTAATTCTCTCTATCTCTATAATTCATCTATTATTTTCAAAATACATAGCTCAAAAATTTATGTAAGCAAGAAAGACATTTGTACAATTTCACTCAGTTTTTACATTAATTTTATATTTATGCTAACATTACACACTATAAACATTTTTAAAACAAAAGGAGAAATACTGTGTGTCTATTTCAGCAGGAATTTTGCACAAAAAGAAAAATGGGCTCTACAGATATTAGTCACTACAGTACCGCTTCAGACTATGAACTGTGTTTAAATACATTATGAACTAAATCCCTTCACAACACTTTATAGCATAGTTTATACTCTGGATATACTCRGTGTACCAAGCCCAATACCATACTACATTGGTAATTTTTTTAATGGGATCCTTTTGTGATTGATACTATTTTTGCTTATTTCAAAGTGAAGCAATATACAAAAAATAAACGTGAAAACATATGGTACATGAAGCACAGCACTATGTAGAGAGATTAGTCCGATAACATTTCTGGTTACTTATTAGCAGCTTTTTTTTTTAAATCAGGCCATGGTAATAAGGCTCCTTTGTTTTGCTTATGGGAAACTTAAGAATCAAGAGAAACTTACTTGATATAATAGGGCACTTTGTTGTGTGAAACAGATCTCTGCCATGGAAACTGTACTGAAGCTGAGGAAATAAACAGAAGGTAATTATTAGAACACACCTGTCAAATAAAAAGGATCCAACTATCATTGTTCCTTGTGTACAATTAACACAGTTATAATAAATTAAGTGGGAACAATTATAATTTCCCAGACAAGCTTACAGTAATTAGAAAGCCAGCTGGAGGAAACAAAGGCAATGCATCAAGATGATTTTAGCCATATATTATACGCCAAGGTAAAAATGAAACAAATGTGCTGGTGCTGCTCCAAAGAAGGGGAATCAATTCTGAACAAGCGAGCTATCCATCCAGCGTGCACGGAGACACCAGCTTTCCTGAGCACCTCCACTACTCTCACCAAATTCTGGCAGCAAAACAAAAAAGAAAAATATCTACATTTTTATTAGTTACAGYCTTTAGCTCCTATTTGCAACTCAAATTAATATTGATTAACACTGTACAGCTGATAAAAAAGCATGAAAAAGCTGTCTCGGTGCCCCTTGCTGAACAGCAGCAATCCTTGCAGGGTTTATGAATGTCTGCTGTACCAACAAACCCATCCGTACCAGCAGGCAGGCTTCTACACACGGAGGTACAAAAGGCCCAAGGCTGTACACCACAGCACAAGGGTCCCTGTTTAACCATCTCAGGAGGCTTAAGAGCATGAAAGGTTSAGGCCTGCAGGAGGGCTGGTGCACAACTTAAAAGTGGGTATTTATGGAAGATCTATGGGTTAAAATGCATCCTATGGGACACAGAAAAAATGCCATTTATAATAAGAATTATTAATTGGTAAGCAAAAACCATTAATGAYAATGCTCAAATATAGGTAATAAACTAAAAGGTTTCTCAAGTTTTCAAAATGCTGAAGATGTGAAAATCAAGCAAACAGGTGAAGGAAACACCAGCTCTGGAGYTTCATTCTTTAACGCTGCAGTTTGGCATCCATGGCTGCTACTACACTAATTACGTCAGCTAGCTAAGAAAAAAAATCTGGCCACAGTTTGCTTGGAGTTGACTCATTTTTGATGAAGAGCTRAAAGATATTCTGCACCAATGGACATATGAACCAAAGGACCGAACAAATTTATGACAAATGTTTATTATTACAGATCTAGTGGTACTCTACTKATTTGGGAAAAATCGTCCTAAAATACTGCCAGTTTTCTGTGCTGAATGAACCTCTGCAAAACAAAATTCCCAGCCATCTTTAAAATCAGTTTCACGATGACACCTGAAGGAGTAGCTGTGGATCCGGGCACACACGAGGAGTGCTGCAGATGCCAGTGAAAGGCTAGATGTTATTCAGCGATGCTTTGCACAGGGCACTGAGAGGCATATGCTGGTGTTGATCTGTGGCTCTTTGCAATATCTACCAACATGCAGTCTGGAAATCTTCCCGTAACTTTTGCATGTAATGTAGAAAAAAAAAGTCCTCTCAAGCCCCAAAGATGCCCTAAACAAGGCACATGATGGGCCCTTTACAGTCTCTTTGGATGTAATTCTATGCACATTTTCTCCAGAAAAAAAAAAAAAAAAAAAAGAGAAATTCCCGGTCTCCTTTGGCCCCCACTACTCATTCCAGCTTCCACCAACTGCAGTTTACCCCTTTGCTCTGTGCTGCAGATGAAATTATTTGTGGTGGCATGCTGTAAGCCAAACTAAGGAGATGACCCAAGTCAGGACAAAGCAAACCAGCCGTCCCAGCAAGTTTCTGAGTGTAACGTAAGGATCTGTTCATGGATCCCACCCACCCGTTACCTTTGCAGGTGATGCACTGGTCTGGGTGAGGAGACATTATCAGGGCACAGGACTGGAGCCAGGAACTTCTCAGACCAGATCAGGTAGGGGAAACTACAACTTACTTTTGTTGCTTCCTAACTCCTTTTAATTACACAATCCAGACTGACTTGTCTACCAAAGCTAGCCTTTTTTTAATGGTGCCAAAGATGCCTCCATATATGTGCATTTGTACCTTATTGCACAGTTKTACTTCACAGGTCAAGATTACGGGTTTGAGAGCAGAAGTGCTACCAAGCCACAGTAGCAACAGTACACTTCAAATTTATATATACAAAGAAAAAACTGAAACAAACAAACAAAAGTATTTTTAAAGTTTTTGGTTTGTTCTGTCAATTTAAACAGGGGAATAGAGCCTGCAAAAATTGTTATGTGTAAGCCCTGCAATATTTTAAATATACTGCACACCATTTACCATGTTCTTCACCCAGGAGCTGCTTGTCAAATTGAAATAAGAAAACTGTTGACACGTAACTCAAGAAGAAACCAAGATTTACTTAATATGTTAAATTATACTAGCTATTCAGCTAATACAGCACATATGGTGCTTAGGATATCTCTGGGACAAAGCTCCTTATTTTTATACTCATTTTTCAAAACGCTTGAATTTGTTTTACCACTAATATTGAAGTACTCATTTAAAAACTGGAGAGCTGCCTGGGTTAACACTGTGTATCATAAACTTTGATGATGGCAGTTGGGCTACACATTCAGAAAATCAACATGGATCTTGATACCACAATCTATCTATCTGTAACAAATAAGTCAAAATGAGAATAAGCAAGCTAAGCATCTGGTTTTGCCTTCTCCTAGGAATACTCATAGGCAATAGGCTTATTTCTCTAAGAATTTWAAAAAATGAACGAAAGAGATGCAAGAATTTGTATCAAGAGGAGACAAATTCAAGAGAGAGCAGCCAGATCCTGATGCAACTGCTGAACAAAAACAACCACAAGCAGTTAGGTGTACAATCATAACCTGGGGAGCTAACGAGGTGGTGCCCTGAGGGAAGCACATCAGCAAGGACCTCAGCAAAGTCACAGACACTGAGGCTGAACCCACAGAATCCTCACAGAAAGAGGGAGGCAAAGAGTAACCAGGAGGAGGAGGAAGGACTTTTGGTGCTCCAGACAGAGTGGGACTGGGAGGGCAGTCACTAAAGGAGATGCAGTGTTTGACATATGACTGCAGCCAAGGCTTTCTCACACATACCCATTCATTCCAAGAACTTACTGGAAAGGAAGTGCTGTGATGCAGGCCCAAAATCCCTGTGTGCCTCCTGCAGCTGTTTAAGGCGATCCTCTACCGACACCTACAAATAAACACACGTACATAACATTGACATCACATTTACTTTGTAACAGCGATAAATATWGTGGCTTACGTTTATTTTGGTTAAAGTTAGATTGACTTTGTGGCACTTTTTTACCACCAGTCATTTAAGGCTACTTTTATTTTTTCTTCTTTCCTGATAAAAACATCTTGCCGTGTTCTTGTGCAAGTAGCACAGATCAATAATGAACTGGTGACCAGAGCTGACCACTAAAATTTCTGACTCCCTCCCAACCTTCCCCTTGTCCAAACCTCTATAGTCAGCAGGTCTCACTTTGATTGTATTGATCTCACAGCTGCCTTTCCAACCTGGCACAATYTGGAAGACACTGCTTCACTGGCTGATGAGACTTCCTCCTGTTTACTAATTAAACTGCACTACAACATGCAAGGCTTTGGCTGCTTAATTAACTCGCTTTAAGGAAATAAATTCCAATATCAACTTATATTAAGAGTGGGAAGAACAGATATGACCCATTAATGACTTGGGTTCTCAGGAGAGACTGATTCAGAGCTACTAGCCCCAAAGCTGACATTTCAGTTTTGTAAAATTCTATTCCACCACAGAGGCAAATGACCCTCCAGCCTTTCCCCAGTTCTTCCCAAGACTTTATATTTCCCTTGTSCCAGGGAAAGAGATCCACAAAAGTTGATTCACAATAAATATTTACTACAAAAGCGGGAGTGAAAAAATGAAGATTGCTAAATTTAAGTGATAGAAGCAGCTTTATTAAACCATTCGGTATGAAAGTGTAAATGAGTTATAACTATAATCAGACACATTTCAATTTACTTTGCTGAGATCATATAGACAGAAGTAAACATAACCAAACAATACGAATCTTGCTTGGACCAGCCCCTCTTCTGTTTTACAAAGCTAAATATGCTATTGCTCATGTCTTGTAGCTCTACTGATACTTAAATCTCTTCAAGTGAAATTCCCTGCAGAAACTGTCAAGTCAAGAACAAAATAAACCAACTTCCACATAGATTGGAAACAACGGAAATATGCAGGCTGGTTTTCAGCAACAATGATTTATGGAGTCAAAATACTACTATAAGACTGCATAAAAAAAGCATGCAGCAGAAGTCTCTCCAGAGATTAATGCAGTCTCCTGAGTGAACAACCACTGAGGCAGCCGGAAAGGAAAGCTATTCGTCAAGGCAGCGAGGGCAAGACAGCTCCCTGTGCTGCTTTTGTACCACCACAGCAACACCTTGAAGGGACAAACGCTGGAAATGGGGAAACAGCATCTTTCAGGAAAGCAGAAGGGTGACAGAGGAGCATTCTTGCCACCCACTCTACCGTGCGCATTCAGAAACGCACCTGTAAAAGCTTCCACCGCATGTTGAGATCATCTAACTGACGAGACATCTTCAGTGACGGGTAAAGGTCCAGTGGAGAGAGCTGACTGCACAAATCATTCACTGCTTTAACCTTCAGGTTGATGGGAGCAATTTCTTCTCTGAAAGCCTACAAGAGTAAGCATACACTTGTGCTCAGTCACCTCCCGAGCAGCAAGAAGGCCAAACCAAACTCTACACGGTGGTGACCAACGTGGCAGCTTGCGCTGACAACTGYAGGCAGCTGCAAGGCTTCCAGCAAGGAAAGGTCACTTACCTGAGTACCTCCAACCCCTCTTTGGAGTCAGAGATAGCATGAAAACTACCCAATCGCCCACATCAAATCACGTCCTTAAATCAGAATGCTGCAATTTAAATAAGATATTTCATGTTGCCATATGGCTTTAGAGTCTTTCTATCCAAGTAGAAAATGCAACGCTGTTCTATAGTACAGTGTCTGTCTAGTACTCTTACAACAAATTGTATTTAATAAGAGTAGCACAGTTTTCCACTATAAAGCAGCTGACAAAAATTCAATTTAAAAACTTTTACTGAATTAGCAAAGCATGAAGAAATGTATCTTCTAAGGACAAGGAGTACAACATTTTACATAATTAGAACTGTACAGTTAAAACTATTATAATGATTAAAAAGACAAAAAAAAAAAGGCTTATTGAGTCAAATGGAACTAACTACAATATTAAAAGCCAAATTGATGTAGTCTGGGTTACAGCTGAAAAGATGCATCGGATATCTTTTTTTTTTTTTTCTGTGTGCAGTTAATTGTTCAGTCCTATAAATGGCTTGACTAAACACTAAAAAACAAACCAAAAACAACTAGAAAAAGATMATTCTTTGGACAACTCAGTTATTTAGCTGCTTTGGAAAGCACTCTTACCAGACAGGGTAACCTWCTGGTAAGAAAGAAGCAGTCGGCTTCTGGAGAGCGTTTGGGTCCCCATTACTGCAGTTTTTCAAAAACTATGAAAATCTGACAGACTTTCTTTACTCTCCTTTACAGAAAAACCATTAAGATATGACAAATTACTTCTTAACATCAGAACAAAAAGCTATTCAACATCAGCACATCAGCATCTCAGCACTTTTTTTAGTATCTATATTAAAATGTAAGAAGGGGAAGAAGAGAGACATTACTCTTCTCAAATCAACAGTAGGATGGACCTAAATCCATTTGATTGCCTTTGGTGGAAAAATTTTAGATTCCATTAAGCCTGAAAGTAGCAACAAACTTTGGAGAAGAGAGATGCTTACAGAGATATACGTGAACTAATGCAGTCCCACATGTTAATGTAAAACACTGAACCCGTGTGTTGTGCCTGTGTAGCAGGGGGTTTGCAGCACTGTGTTTACAGCCCCCAACCCTTCATCCATCCAGCACCAGCCTTTTATGCAGAAGTCACGGACGGTCAAGCACAGTGACCCCAGGGTCTTCTCTTATTTTGCCTTATTTACTCACAGGGCAGGTCTTCTCTGTGACCCCCCAGGGTCTTCTCTTATTCTGTCTTATTTACTCAGAGGGCGGAATCGTGGGAGGTTGAGAGTTACCAGGTTAATGTAAAAGCAAATAATTTCTTTTCATTTGCACAAACTAGTATAGACAATACCAGCAGTTTGTGAAAGCTAATGGACATAAATTAAAGCTCTGAGTATGCCTTTGCACTATTAAAACTAGTTGTAAAGGGTTTTTTTTTTWWAAAAAAAAAATGAAGTTGCACAAGACAGTCCAATGGGTCTGACAGCCCATCACTACAAAAAAAAGGGGAGCCTGCTGCCATCTGCCTGGATAATGAACTGATTCAGCCCAGTCAAACTTCAGTGCTCAGGCAAAGCTAGAAATACACCCATGGCCTGGGTGCAGGTTACAGAGGTTTGCCAGGTGGGAATCTTTAAAATAACTTTTTTCTTTTTTTTTTTTTTTTTTGTATATATTGCAAGTTATATGCTGTACAAATCTGTAGCCACCTAATCACATGTCCTTCTGCAACCACAGCTGAGCCATGGAAGCAGGCATTGGATTTTCTGAGAGACTAGAAGCTACACAGTGGTAATATGTTTGAGGGTGAACTGACCTCAACTCCAGACCCTACAAACTCCGGCACAGTGACCTTGTCCGTAGCTGAACTAGGCACCGCACGTGAGCATTTACATACATGGTGTATACGTATTTCCCAAGATGAGGTGGGACAGAATGAGGAGGTCTGACTCTCACACACGCTAAGTATTTCCCAGCAGGTGCACACTTACTGCCGTTTTCTCAATGTGATCCTGTAACGAATCTATGAGCAGGTCTCCCACCGGTTTCCAGCCATTCCTCACGTTCTCAGCCTCCTTCAAGTCAGCATCAAGGTCATCCATGGCACACTGCAAGTCTTTCAGTTTTTCCAGTGCTTTGTCCACTTGCTTCTGCCACATGCTGGCACTAGCATTTAGGCTCTCCCATTTCTCCTTCACCTCTGAGGAGTGCTTCCGCATAGCCTTGGCAATTCGCAGGGCCTTCTCCTCAGGGCTCAATTCTGCACAGGACAAAAGCAAAAGGGTTTGCTACTYATTTTTTCTCTTATTCACATATAAACAGATCGAACACTGACTAGGATGAACATTCAAGRAAGTCTGTATCTACCGAGCCCACGGTCAAGTGCTTATTTATTTCAAATGGAACAAGGTAGCAGGAAGTCCACATTGCTGTAAATAAAGTAAGCCTTAATTATTCTTMATGATAAAATACAGCTAGGTCAGCAACAGATAAATATTCACGKTTTCCATGTGTTATGATATGCATGAAACAGAGGCAGGTTATTGCTGTTTTTATGAGTTAGGGAAGAATTGGAGAAAGACATATAAGATGATTCTTCTCCATTCGAAACTGCGGGAGCAGTTTGTGGCCATTTCATGTAGAAAGAACAAAACATTGCCTTTTTTTTTTCCAGTATCAGTTATCATCTCCCCCCTCCCCCCTTTTTTTTRGATCAGCTATCATCACATCTCCAAAATGCCTCCTATTCTCCTGGCAAAACACAACAGTAGCAAGAAATCCGAGAGCTAAGCAGGGAGCAGTTCTGCAATTCCACATCCTCTTTTGTGTTAACACTTAACTTTTAAAAGGCCGTTCAAACAGGTATTTCAAATCCAAACTGTTTTACCAGCCTGCTGACAGARAAAGAGCTGATCTTATGAAGCCCTGTTTCTCCCCGACTTCCAGCTTAGGTGCTTACAAGCAAATCCCTATTCCCCGGGGAGCTGGAGGCGCCCGGCCAGCACTCCCCACTAGGGACACTTGAGTTCCCTCCTTTCCCAAATGGAGACGTGGGACACAAGCCACACGGTGCCACAAGGCGGCCCCGCCGCCTTTCCAAGGTACCTGCGGCTGGGCAAGTCAGGAAGAAAAGGGAAAGCCCCAGCAGGTCTCGCTGACTGACAGGCAGGCGCAGGAGAGCCACAGGGAGCCCCTTTCACTGGGGAAGGGTCGGTCAGCAGTGGCAAACAAGCAAAACCCGGCCCAGAAGGGTCCCTCCCAACCTAAAAGCCTTGCAGAGCGAAATAACAGGGAAAATGTGATAAAGCGGAGAAATCCGAGAATAACAAGGGGGAGCCACATGGCATACAGCAGAACTGAGCCAAGTGGCTTCTATTCATTCCTCAGTGAAGCCCTCAGCACTTAGAAATGCTTTTTTCTTTTTGCAGAAAGAAAATGTTTTGTAGGAAAACATTTTTCAAATGTTGTCTATGAATAAATAATGTACATAATAGAAAGACGAAAGCATTGCTTTTGTTAGAAGCCAAATGAGTCACACAACCTTCTATGCACTGATCTGTAGTGTTTAAAGTTATCAGCATAAATGATTGAACTTTGTCTAGCTCACCTATGGAGAAAAAGAAAAAATAACAGATGGGGGAAATAGAAAATTTTATTTTTGTAAGGATAAGTGAATGTTAAAGTAAAAAATACACTGTTGTTACAAAAATTATGAGACTATACATCTGATAATGAAATTATTGTTGTCTAGTTCCCAATATCGGAAAATACACAGGAAACAGTTAATACACCATGCCTTTTTTTTACTRGATGTAGAAATTACATGAATTTCTTTGGATAAAAACAGAATTTCTGTCAACCGCTTCCACACATTTAATTACTCTCAGCTTTTTCAAATCTTGTCAATCATCATAGGATTGATCCCTGCTAGACTACACACAGAGTATTTAGCAACAGACTCTGGAAGTAAGCTGAGGAGAAAAAAAAGTAATCCATACCTATTTTATACTTTAGTTGGAGGTGTGTAGCAAGATGCTAAAATGGGTTTGGATTTTTTTTTTTTMAGGATACAAATGCTGCATGAAGGCACAAAACAACTTGTTAGGAAGGCAGTTAGTTAAGAGAATAAGTTTTGCCTGTGGTAACCAGATGGGAAYGGGAGGCAAGAGCCATCAACATGAGCAAACAGCCCCAAGAAGATACCAACAAACACCTAGGTTGGAAGTTATAGAGCACGTTTTGAGAGCTAGAATTGGAAAAGTTCTCTCAAAAAAGCTACTGATATGCCCTGTGCTCGCTGACGGTAGCCACGCTCAGGGACACCCCAAGACAAGAGGAGGCTTCAGGAGAGGAATCGAGGAGAAACAGCTCTTGACACAAAGCTGTGAGGCTTAACTGGATGCAGGGGAATCTAAATTGTGCAGGTAGCTCGGGAACACAGAGCTACGAAAATAAAACAATTTGTGACACTGACAGACTGGAAYGAACATTAAGACCAAAGATGGGCTATGATAAATCGTGCCATGTCTCTTGAATTCCAGCAATTCACAATATGATAAACAATACTACAAAACATTAGAGCTCTGGGATGATCTTTGCCCTAAGCTTGCCAAAAATTTGCAGATTCTTTTTTTTTAAAAAAAAAAAAAAGCTTAAATTGTGGGGAAAAAAGCTCTTACAGATAAGAACGATTTTTTTTTAGACAAAGAACTACAAATTGTAGCGATACCAATGAAGCTGCCACTGGATTTCATTTTGGAATGACTCGCGGGTATGAACCCCAGCACGCTGTTCGGAAGGCGAGGCCAAGCCAGGCCAGGCCGGTGTGGGAGCAGAGCCGCAGCGCCGCGCGCCACTCRCCCGGCCGAGGCGCGAGCGCCACAGCTGCGCGGCGCTGCGTGGGGAGCACGGCTGGCACGGAAAGCTCTGCACAAGGAACGGGGTGCTGACCTTGCACAAGGGCAACAGAAACTGGGCTCCCCAGGACGAGAGGGATGTGGAGCTGCTGGAGAGAGTCCAGCGCAGGGCTACCAGGATGATCAGGGGCCTGGAACATCTGCCCTRTGAGCAAAGGCTGAGGGAGCTGGGCCTGTTCAGCCTGGAGAAGAGGAGGCTGAGGGGGGACCTGATCAGTGTCTATAAATACCTCAAGGGAGGCAGTGAGGAGGAGGGGGGCGGCCTCTTTTCAGTGGTGGMCAGTGATAGGACTAGAGGAAACGGCCACAAGCTGAGGAACCAAAAGTTCCACAGGAACTTGAGAAAACACTTCTTGACAGTGAGGGTGCCAGAGCCCTGGCACAGGCTGCCCAGRGAGGTTGTGGAGTCTCCTTCCTTGGAGATATTAAAAACCCGCTTGGACGCAGCCCTGTGCCACGTGCTCTAGGTGACCCTGCGTGAGCAGGGGGGTTGGACTCGATGACCTCTGAGGTCCCTTCCAACCTTGGGCATTCTRTGATTCTATGAAACACCGTTTTCTGTGCAAGTAAACACTGCACACATGCAAACTGCACTCTGGCAATTTTCATCAAATGTCGTGTACTTCGTCATCCTTTACCTCATACCAGACCCCAGAACTAACAGCTTTGCCCACAGGACTAGCAAGTTAGAAGGTTTTAATAGTTCTAAACCGGACGACTAACAGGTCATTTAAGGTGATCAGTCTCTTGACAAGGAGCATCTAAAACCTTTAGTAAGGGCTGAACATCTTCTTCCAAAACTCAACACATTAAACTCAACGACTTCTTCTCTCTCCCTTAATGAGATAGAAGTAATAAAAACAAACAAGTGGCTGCAGCAGTAAACAGGGAGACACAAGGRGAAGGATGACCTGGTTTTATTTGTCTGGCCAGCTAAAACAAGTCAGCACTTGACAGACTGTTTATTTCTTTAGGAGGGAAAACTGGGCTCAACTTGAGTGATACAAGAATCCAAACAGAACAGAGAAGAAAACACGCATGTTCTTTATTTGTGGAAAGATATTTGAGGTACATTTGTCAAATCAATATCACTGTGCAAGGGTACCTGCTGCATATTTTATTTGAAAAATATAAATTCATTGCAAGATTGCTCTGTTTTACAAAAACATTGAGCATGCTTGCAAATTTGCCTAAAAAGACTTTGCTGTGGACCTAGAGCCCCACAGAGTTTGTCACAAGCTATAAAACCATTCAGCATCTATCCAACACGTGGCGTTTTTCAAGCTGAGATCACATTCACAGAGATGTTGGTTGCATGGGGTAGAACTGTATCTGGCTGCATGAAAAGCGTCTTAGCAGAAAAAAGGAGTCTCCTGTGAGCATGCAATTCTTTCAGCAGTCCATCACTGCACACACTGACAGACACAGGCCCTTTCTGCTGTGAACGAAACCAGTACATAGTGGTTGATGCTTTTTTGTCCCCACTTACTGTGAGGTCCTCTGATTGATCAGCCTTCCTTCCTTTTTTAAATGGCAGTTATTACATTATCTCCACTTCAGCAGCTGCTCAGAAAGTAAGAAAAGCCCATATTCACTGGGCCATCTGTTTACCAGAGAGGAAAGATATTAACTGACCTTGGAGTCAGGGAGAAAAAGGAGGAAAATAAAAGTACTGCTTCTGTAAAGCAACAACTTGATTTTAATAAGCACCTTTTGTCAGAAAGTGATGCAAGCATTGAGTTTTCCTGTGTCTCTAGTAGATATATTGCCTCAGAAGAAAAATTCTCAAAACTGAACTTTACAGCTCATAGGCTTTTTCTTTTTTTTTTTCCCTCCCTAAATTTGCTTACGTATATTGAATATAACTTGGAAAGCTAAAGAAGAAGGAAGATGAATTAAGCTAGTCCTGGCTCTAGCAGTTTTGATTTTCAAGCAACTTTCCTTGATCCCTAAATTCTGACCTGAGCTAGTGATCCCTTTCTAGTTTACATAATTAAACTAATTTCCTACTTACTTATTTATTTATTTAACTCTATTCTTAAAAAAGCACAGTAGAACTGGCGTTGAGGTAATGCCCTCTCCTTCTCTACCTGTGTCAAACACTTTGTCTTCCTTGGTTCCACAGATCTTTGTGACAAAGCACAATGGAGGCAATGGCAGCGTAACCACTACGTCCAGCCTCAGAGCATGTAAACAGGTAAAATTGTCCAACTGTCCCACTGTCAAACGTGTTAGCRCACGAATCAAAAGTACTAATATCATCACATTACGAAGCCTTCAGCATCGCTGCAATGAAAATGTTCCTTGTTTTTAACAAACCCAATGAAAAACTTACTTATGTCAC